AGCTGCAACACCTTCAACTGGAACAGCAACAGACCACAGCTGAGGATATTGCTTCAGAGGAGGGAGAGAGGGGGAAGAATGTGCCTTCTTCAGTGATTAAGGACATGTGTACAAAGTGGAGTGAGTTGTAAAGTTGCAAGCCATGTCTGCAACATGTTCAATGACAATGTCTTGTCCCATTTTAGGCAAATTTTACAGAGATGCCAGAAACAGAGCAATCTGGACAGATTTTTTGTGTGACAGGGGTATAGTGACTCTCAAGACAAAGAAGGGAAGTAACCCCAGAGAGGGCTTTGATACCTTAAGTCCTTATGGAGGGGGATTCCCCTTCCAAACAATAAACTCTCCTCCCTCTACCCTCCTCGCCTTCTTCCATATGCCAACAAAAGTCTTCAATAAAGGTATGTAATGTTCATATATCATTAAAATTAGTTCTTTATATTTCTTTCTCATTGTTTTCTGTATGTAAAACTATAGTTATTCTTTAAAAAATTTATTTTTGTTAATATTTTTGGGTGTCTGGAGCGGATTAATTGGATTTACATTATTTCTTATGGGAAATATTACTTCGGTTTTTGGCCATTTCGGATTTCGGCCAACCTTCTGGAACGGATTGATTATGAAAACCGGGGGTCTACTATATGTACAATAAAATTAACAGACCCCCAATTTCATGGATTTTGGATTTAATAGACCATTATTATTATTTTAATCAACAAGAATAGCGCTAAACCCACAAAAATCTGTAGTGAAATAACATGCAGAAACAACAGACAAAGTCTGTTCAATCCAAAATTATCCACTGTTGTGACAGTCAGAAGGGTAAATTGATTTCAAATTTGAATCCAAACTGTCAATTATTACTGTTACTGAAAGTTCTGGATTTAATGGATAAAGTCTGTAAAATCAGAATTGTCTATTATTGTTGCAGTCATCTGCATAAATTGATTTTTGGACTTAATGGACACAGTCTGTTAAATTCAGATTGACCATTATTATTATTATAATCATGGATATAGGGGATATAGTGTTGGAGTGGCTGGTATTTTTGTTTAATAAATGTATGAAAGAGGGGAAGGTACCTAGAGATTGGCAGAGAGCATGTATAGTCCCTTTATATAAAGGGAAGGGGACAAAAGAGATTGTAAAAATTATAGAGGAATACTTTTACTGAGTATACCAGGAAAAGTGTACGGTAGGGTTATAATTGAAAGAATTAGAGGTAAGACAGAATGTAGGATTGCGGATGAGCAAGGAAGTTTTAGAGTGGGTAGGGGATGTGTAGATCAAGTGTTTACATTGAAGCATATACGTGAACAGTATTTAGATAAAGATAGGAAAGTTTTTATTGCATTTATGGATTTAGAAAAGGCATATGATAGAGTGGATAGGGGAGCAATGTGGCAGATGTTGCAAGTATATATGGAATAGGTGGTAAGTTACTAAATGCTGTAAAGAGTTTTTATGAGGATAGTGAGGCTCAGGTTAGGGTGTGTAGAAGAGAGGGAGATTACTTCCCGGTAAAAGCAGGTCTTAAACAGGGATGTGTAATGTCACCATGGTTGTTTAATATATTTATAGATGGGGTTGTAAAAGAAGTAAATGCTAGGGTGTTCGGGAGAGGGGTGGGATTAAATTATGGGGATTCAAATACAAAATGGGAATTGACAAAGCTGCTTTTTGCTGATGATACTGTGCTTATGGGAGATTCTAAAGAAAAATTGCAAAGGTTAGTGGACGATTTTGGGAGTGTGTGTAAAGGTAGAAAGTTGAAAGTGAACGTAGAAAAGAGTAAGGTGATAAGGGTATCAAATGATTTAGATAAAGAAAAATTGGATATCAAATTGGGGAGGAGGAGTATGGAAGAAGTGAATGTTTTCAGATACTTGGGAGTTGACGTGTCGGCGGATGGATTTATGAAGGATGAGGTTAATCATTGAATTGATGAGGGAAAAAAGGTGAGTGGTGCGTTGAGGTATATGTGGAGACAAAAAACATTATCTATGGAGGCAAAGAAGGGAATGTATGAAAGTATAGTAGTGAAGCTTGGGTTGTGAATGCGGCAGCGAGGAGGCGGTTGGAGGCAGTGGAGATGTCCTGTCTAAGGGCAATGTGTGCTGTTAATATTATGCAGAAAATTCAGAGTGTGGAAATTAGGAGAAGGTGTGGGATTGTTGAGGTGGTTTGGTCATTTAGAGAGAATGGATCAAAGTAGAATTACATGGAGAGCATTTAAATCTGTAGGGAAAGGAAGGCGGGGTAGGGGTCGTCCTCAAAAAGGTTGGAAGGAAGGGGTAAAAGAGGTTTTGTAGGAGAGGGGCTTGGACTTCCAGCAGGCGTGTGTGAGCGTGTTCGATAGGAGTGAATGGAGACGAATTGTATTTGGGACCTGACGATCTGTTGGAGGGTGAGCAGGGTAATATATTTAGTGAAGGGATTCAGGGAAACTGGTTATTTTTATATAGCCAGACTTGAGTCTTGGAAATGGGAAGTACAATGCCTGCACTCTAAAGGAGGGGTTCGGGATATTGACAGTTTGGAGGGATATATTGTGTATCTTTATACGTATATGCTTCTAAGCTGTTGTGTTCTGGGCACCTCTGCAAAAACAGTGATTATGTGCGAGTGAGGTGAAAGAGTTGAATGATGATGAATGTATTTTCTTTTTTGGGATTTCCTTTCTTTTTGGGTCACCCTGCCTCGGTGGGAGATGGCCGACTTGTTAAAAAAAAAAAAATCATGGAAAATCGATTTCATTATCCAGGTGTAATGTGCAATTGGATTTAAGAGACACTGTTAAATCAGGGGCTCAATGTACAGTAAACTCCCTTGTAAAGCAACACTACATACTATACAACAATTTTGTCTAAAAAAAAAAGTGCATCCTTTCTGCAGAGCCTATACAAATCCTTGATAGTATGCTACAGAAGTGTGGAAGCATCAAATTATGCACATAATCATGGTAGTCTACGCTCTGCATATACCCCTCCAAGATTTTTAATATTTTTCATCACCTTATCTAATCTCTTGATATTAACCATGGCACCAAGTGATGCCAGAAGTTCAATGAAGAAAACAGTAAGCATGAAGCTGTGACCATACTGAAATAAGTGGAAACTGTTTATATGTTATGAAGCAGTGCTTGTGTTCTTCAAACTACCCACACTTAATCTAAGAAAATCCACCATCAGTACTATCACACAATGAGAAAAAAATAACAGCCTGTGCAGCAAGCTGTGTAGATTGTAACATAGTGAAGAGTATCAAAGAGGTCAGTACACCTAAATAAGACACAACAATGTATGTTTGGTGCCAGCTAGTCTTCAAGTTTTAGAAGAGCAATCAGCTTCATAACATTAGGTTTAGTGGCAAGAGTGTGTCAGCTGATCACACTGCCACAGGAAATTTCCCTGCCCAAGGTTGTTTAAATTATTTGCTTCTCTGTACAAATGAAACATGATTTCAAATGCAAGCCTTTGCTAATTTATCATGTAGAGAATCCCTGTGCTTTAAAAGCTCAAGACAAAACTTGTTAGCTTGTTATTTGGCAGCCTAACAAGGTACCATTGATAATTGAAGCCCAATTTGCTGATTGGTTCAAGCATTATTTTATTCCTGAAGTCAAGATGTGCTTAGCCAGAAATAACTCACATTCTAAATAATTTTCGTGGTCATTCTCAAATCTTGCAGTCTGTGTACTGTGTTACTATACATGCAAAGTAATGGAAAAACTTAATGCAGCAACAGATGACAGCTCTGAGAGAGGCATACCATAGCTCTGGTATAAATTTAACATTACAGATGCACTTCATGGGATGATGTGTCCCCAACAACCAAAAAATGCAAACTGGGATAAATTATAACCTTCTCTGGTGCATACTTTCTTTTGTTTTCCTTAGTAAGGAGTTAGGTCCAGGAAATAATGGCTCTGGCAAGGAGAGTGAGATGTGAGGGCATGTATGGAGATGGCATAAACAAACTGTCTGAAGACATTGACAAAGGACCATCTGCAGAAGAATTACTGGAGAAGCTCCATTCTCGGTTAAGAGAGAGGTAGAAAAAAGGAAGATGGAAAGGAAGAAAAACTTGTAGATAAACCCTTAACACTTCAAGAGTTACATGAGCAATTTTATTTTATAGATAAATTTGCAGACTTTTTCACTGAAAAGTCCTGACACATCTAGAAGCCTTGTTCTGAAGCAGTCTGAAACAAGCAATGAAGCCTCATCATCATCCATATACACTAATGCAGGGTACAACACCAGAAATGTACTAAAGAATACTTAAGTACTTCAGTCCACCCATCAACTACTAACAACTCAGCATATATATCAACACAAGAATCACAACCATCCGCCTCAGCCCAGTACAGTGGTACCTCAGGATACAAACTTAATTCGTTCCAGAAGGCTGTTCAAGTGGCGATACCGAACAAATTTGTTCCCATAAGGAATAATGTAAATTACATTAATCCATTTCAGACCCCCAAAAATACACTTACAAAAGCACTTACATAAATACACTTACATAATTGTTCAAGTTTTGAGCTGTTCGTATCCCAAGGTACTACAGTATTGCCATAACCATCCTCTCTACCCAAATCAACAAACAATATCTACCAGAATGTAAAAAAAAGATCAAATTTATTTTTTTAAATATATTATAATATTTAAAAAAAGTCATTTGACATTTTTCAAGGCAACTGGAATTCAACCCTATTTTTCCCATATGTTCTCCATTTTACATGACATTATTTTTATCATAAGGCAATGATTTTCACGAATGTATCCTCCCCATTATGAGAAGGTTTACTGTACTACAGAATCAAACATAAAAGTACTGTAAAACCCTGTTCTATATACATAATATAAACATGGAAAGCAATATATTGACTGCACTGTATATAATAAGAGCAAGACTATGCTTTACAAAACAAAGGTACCTCACTTACCACTCAGAAAAATGCTTATTTGCTGTACACAAACAAATAATTAACTTACCTGTTTCAGAGTCAATAGTGAAGTTGAGCTGTAACCACATGTTTTCAGCAGATTTTTCATCGATCCTTGTATCACCTTTGGGCTGCAAATAATCATACGCTTGAGTTTATAATTCTTTACAATTACATATACAGGACTGTATGTATAAATCAAATAATAAAAACATGTATTAACAAAAATAATAAAAATATGTATACACATCTAACATCATGTGATCACTTTTTGTTACCAATTCCTGTACAGATTTAATAGCAACCATGAAGTTATATTAAAATACCAGTGAAAATTAACAATACACAAACACCTTAGAGCTTATGTGTGGTCTCTCACAGCGGGCCCCTTTGTAGTGCATTTCTAATAGAATACTATTCATATTTCTTCTCAGTAAATATTAGTACAGTATGTAGCTTTGACTGAGTGTATGAGCTGTAAGTTTTAAAAATGGTGGCCAAGACATGAAAATAATCCTGTACAGAGATTTCTACAGCCTGCAGAAAGCTAGCAACTAACTTTTCCCAGGCCACTAAAGCATACACTATAGTGACCTTATAAACCCTCAAGAGATGACCCACAACTGTCATGTGATAAAACATAACAGATGACTTACAGCCATCTTTCACTTAGTCATTACATAACTATCTCTAAATGCTGCATTATCAATAAGTAAGATGAACGAGGAACATAAGGTAGGCTTAAAATTTTTTTCTTGCTCCTGTTATATACCTTCCATGAGTTCCAAGAGGTTCTCTACTCCCATAGCCTGACCTTGAGCCAGGCTCATCTGGTGCTAGTATGGTCAACCAAGATACTATTGTTGCTGGTGGCCCAGTGACCCACATATCCATCACAGCTTGGCTGACCTGCTACCTGATGAATATACTTGTCCAGCTTCCTCTTGAAGACTTCTAAACTTTGGTATCTTATGGTAAGACACTGAACAGTCTGGGGGCTGTGGACGTTGATACAGTGTTCCTTTATTGTGCCTATGGTGCCCCTGCTTTTCACTGGCTTCATTTTGGACATCTTCCCATATCTCTCACTCTAGTATGTTTGCTATGGTAGTGTGAAGACTTGGGACAAAACCCTCAAGTATTTTCCAGGTATATATTATCATGTATCTCTCTCTCTCCTTTGTTCCAGTGAGTACATATTTAAGCCTTTAAGGAAATCCCAGTAATTTAAATGCTTTATTGGCTCTATGCAGCCCATAAATGATTTCTATATGTGTTCCAGCTCTGATAGCTCTCCTGCCCTGAATGGGGCTGTCAACACAGCAATATTCCAAATGAGAGAGCACAATACTGGCACTATTTTCCTTGTTTTGAAATTTTTCATTATTCATTATACATAGTGAAATAAATATGAGCTGCCAGCGATGAAACAGACCATCCATAGACCTCTATTGCTCAACTGAGCATCTCCAAATGCTTACATATCAAGAGCAGGAGTAACAAAACAATTTTCATGAAGGGTAAAATTTTCTTCTTACTTTTAGCATACTGTATTTTAAACTGATGAGATATTAAATTTATAATAGTCTCAGCCGGCACCTTCAAAACTACCATTAAATAAAAAACATCTCTCCCTAACATAAGAACATAAGAAAGAACACTGCAACAGGCCTACTGGCCTATGCGAGGCAACTTCAATTCTCCCACCGGCTTAAGCCAATGCCTTGACCTAGTGAGGTCAGACACGTCACTTAAGAGAGGAGCAGTGCATCCGACCTAGTAGCACAAGCTAGTCAGGTCCAACTCACACCCACCCTCACCCACTCATGTATTTATCCAACCTATTTTTAAAACTACACAATGTCTTAGCATCTATGACGGTACCCGGGAGTTTGTTCCACTCATCCACAACTCTATTACCAAACCAGTGCTTTCCTATATCCTTCCTGAATCTGAATTTTTCCAATTTAACCCTTAAATGGTCCAAACGTATATATATGTTTTTTCAACATCTGAAAGTATGTAAAAAATGTAGATCTTCTTTTTTGTTTTACATTTGAAAACATGCAAAAAAACTTTTATCTACATTTTTTTTTTAATTTGAAAATATGTAAAAAAAGTAGATCTACTTTTGTAGCACTACGAATTTGAACTTGATCGTTTAGTTTAAGGGTTAAAGCCATTGCTGCAGTCCTGTCATGTTAATTTTTTTTGCATGTATTAATCCCCTTTTTTAATTCCTTTTTCCATTTAACACCTAAAATCATTCCCCCTTAATTCTACCGATACCCAAATCACAAAATACAAAAAAACTAATACCATATTCTCACTGCCCAAACATTTGGAAAAAACATTAAAATATTCTTAACCCTTTGAGGGTTTTGGTGTACTAGTACTCTTACGGTAGGGGTTTTTGACGACTATACGAAAAAATTCTAGGGGCCTCAAATCCGCGGGAAAAAGGGCGAAACCTAGATGTGAGAGAAGGGGTCTGGTGGTGGGTGTGCACATGGGAAAAAAAATCGGGGACCCAGTGGGGAAAAATTTGGAATGCCATCAAGTACAAAATTTTTCCACCATCCCTGTGGTAAAATTTCCTCACTCCTGGGGCAAATTGGGAACTTTTGTTCCCCAGTGACAGTTCTAATGCAGATAAAATGACATGAAGAGGGTTTTCAAGGTTCTGGTGGGTTTTGCCCGAAACTAATACCATAATTGGGAAATAGTGAGGAAAACCCAGAAAACCCACACCCTTCCACCTCTGTGCTGGCCCGTCAGTTGTACCAAACAAAGAGGAAACTCTATTTTTTCCCAAAAACCCAGACTCAATGTAGCATGGTGATAATGAAGATTATGAACACAAGCCTTTAAACTTGTTCCAAGAATGGGGGAGGAGGAGGAGGGAGAGGAGGAGGAGGCAAGGGGGAGGGGGCAAAGGAGGGAGGCAAGAGGAGAGGGGGCAGAGGAGGGGAGGGGGAAAAAAAAAGAGGAGGAGGGGGGAAGAAAGGAGGGGAGGGGGAAAGGAGGAAAAGGGGGGAGAAAAGAGGAGGAGGGGAGGGGGAAAAAAAATACGTAAAGATAACAAAAATACATAATAATAATACATAATAATAATAATACATAATAAAAATAATAATAAAATAATAAATATGTAATAAAAAATTTTCACCCATGACAGAAAAAGATAAGGGGAGATAACATCTGATAAGTGCTGACGTTTGATGGGGTAAATGAGGTAGAGCATGCCAAAAGATGAGAGAACATCCCCCTCCCTTTGTTTTTGCGGGGATACTAACTTTTCTGTCTGTTTTTTTGCCTGTCTGTCAAGCTCCCTGTCCCTCGCTCTCTGTCTCAGAGAGCCACAAACGGTCACACTTTTACTCACATCTTCAAGCAGAGTATAGCACTTTGCGGGATTTTTGGGGTTTTTATCCTAGGAAATTTACCTATGTAACTTGTTTTTTTATGTGTACCTGTAGACAGGATAGACAGACAGATAGAAAGAGAGAGACGTTTGAAAGAGATAGAAGGGGAGAAAAATAAAACACCTTTGGAAAGAACCATGTTTAAGTTCCACAAGCTGAGAACTAATGGGAATATTTCAGTGACGAAATTTTTTGTATTAATTTTATAGAACAATAATAATAAACAATTTTTGTTTTGTTTGTTTTTGTAACAAGTTTTGTAAACAATATAAAAAATTATGTTTTTGTGCTTATTGTTTTGATAAAACGGTGTATATATGTACATGCCCCTTTACTTTGGTCTCTAGGCCCATAATTTTATGTAAAAAAAATAAAATATGAAAAAAACAACAAACCTAAAATAAAATAAATCAAATTTTCCCGGGGAGCGCAGTCGCCGCTGTTGCCATACGGGGAAAATTTTCTAAAACTTCATGCACCCTATCTCCGTAAGATTGATGGTAAAATTTTTTTGTTATCCTAAATGTTCAAAAAAAAAACTCTTTTTTTCATAAGAAAAAAAAATTTTTTTTTTTTTGAAATTTGGGCCGACCCTGAAACTTTCGGAGAGGGCCGTCACCCTAAAAGGGTTAATACAGTGGTACATCCAGTTTCGAACGCCCCAAACTCAAAAAAATTAGTAAGTGTATTTTTGTAACCCTTTTTTGAAGTGTATTTTTGGGGGGTCGAAACAGAAAATCAAATTTTCATTATTCCTTAGGGGAAAAAATTCGTTTGGTATTGACACTCGAACACCTTCGGGAATGAATTAGTTCGTAACGAAAGGGTTCCACGATCTTTAACCCTCCGGCAAAAAAAACATTGAATGTGCCCCAAATTATTTTTTTGCTAGAATCCTCTTTTAATCCTTTGACTTTTGCACCCCAAAACCCCTAAACCTCTCTGTGTCACAAAATTTTCGAAAAAAGAAAAAAAAAATTTTTTTCTCACGAAATGATAAGAGAACCTTTTCCCGATGTTAATGACGCCAAAAGTACAAATTTGAAGGAAAACTTGCGGAATTACGCTCTCATGAAGTTAGCGATCTTGGAGATGTTTATGCATTGGCAATTTTGCCCATTTTAAGCCCTATTTTCATTCAATTCCATTGTTTCAGTCAATCAAATTCATAGCTATTTCTTTATAACTCCATTTGTTCTATTGATTGAGTACAAGAAGCCGCCCATTTACCGATTTCAACTACCCAATAAAGTGGTCAGAAATTGGCAATTTGGCCAATTTCATACAAATTAAAAAAGATACCAATTTCAAATCAGGGTCCAGAATGAACAATGCAGACATTCCTGGCAGTAAAATAACATTTTCTCTGTTCATCAGTCACATCTTCAGGCCCCTCTTATATTACTCTTGCTTTCTATTTTGAATTTATATTCACACAAAAAATAGAAGATTTACTGTTATTGGAGACTACTGCATTATTGTAATAGTTGTATAAATAATGTCAACCCATTCGTGACTGTGCATTAGAATGGTTAACCTTTTCAGGGTTTCGGCCGTACTAGTACGGCTTACGCGCAGGGGTTTTTGACGTACTAGTACGCATAAATTCTAGCGCCGTCAAATCTAGTGAGAGAAAGCTGGTAGGCGTACATATGAAAGAATGGGTGTATGTGGTCAGTGTGCGTGGTATAAAAAAAATCCTGCAG